GCAGGCAGGTAAGGGCGCCGCATAAAATGGGCGACACCTAGACCACGCCGACTCGAAGATGTCTATAGCCAGGAGTCCATACATCCGTTAGAGCCAACGACATGAGTCGGCGACGACTGGCCAATCCGCAAACTGAGGAATGAACCGATACAGCTGTCCGCCAGGACTCAGAACACACCTCAGACATGAACATCACGGTTAGCCAAACCCCGAGAATCCAGCAAACGAGCCACTCTAAGGAACCAACCCCAAAGGTCAACACCTAAGAGAAATCCTGTGGTTCCGGAAACAAACCACCAGAGAACAGTCCGAATGGAGCTGAATGGTAGAGCACCGAGTGACCCAAACCCTCCGAAGCGCAAACCAGACAGCCACGAACTCCCGAACCATGCTGTGAGCCCGACGGACGGACAGACCCCACCATCCCTGGCCGACCTGGTGAGCACTGGTCACAAAGCCCCAGCCGAGAGATGACCCGTCCGTGAACACATCGAGCGAAGGCTCAGGGAGGTGCCAAGGCACGGAACCCCGAAAACCCCAAAGAGGAAGCTGGTGATGCAGCACCAACACAAGATCCCCGGAGTAACGAACTCAACGATTGCAAGAGAGGCGGAAGGGGAGTCTCCAAAGGAACCAAACAGACACCGAAGCCAAACCCGACCCCACTGGCAGACCAGCACATCGAAGTTCAGACTCCCGCACAACTGCTCAAGCAACCGCTGAGCAACCTGGGACCCCCTCATGAACAGCCGAAGGCAGGACCACAGCCGCAGTAACACTTCTGGAGGGAAAGACAAGGAGCGGCCCAAGAGGACTAAACAAGGCCCAGCCAGGTCCAAACCCGGGACGGAAACAGATTGAATGGCCTCCAGATCACCAGGAAACCAAACCCAGCGATCTGGAAAAAAACCACACCCATGGCGAGCAGACAAGCGGACCGACTGGAAGCCCACACCAGCCAGTTGTCGAGGTAGGCCGGACACCGAATCCCAAGCAGACTCAGAAAGGGCACCAAGATCCGGTAAAAATGCAAAAATACACCAAGTGCCAATTACAAAATAGGGAAGGCAACAAAAGCGGCAAGCCTGAAGACCCACCACCAATTGTGCCAGTCCCAGAAAACTGGAGAGGAATGTGCCAAGAATTGACCTAGAGGTCCAGGGCCACCATCCAGGCACCTGGCCCCAACAGAAGCCAGACAGGAGACAACAGTCCTCCGATGAGGGCATAGAATCCAGGGCGCAGACTGGAGAAGTCCAGAAGAACCGCAGATTCGACTGTCCCATGTCTGCAAAGAGCAGACGGGAACCCCAGAAGAATGGGGCTGAACGACTATATCCAACGCACCCACTAAGATTACATGACGATGCGCAGGGGAAGAAGCCCACCCTTCTAGCCCGGACCCCCCCAAAGGGGGAGAAGCCGTCCACCGCCGCCACCAGAGGTCAGAAGACAACCAAAAGCGCCCACTAACTGCGGGACCATGCGAGAGTCAACAGAGCAAGCTGCTCCCCCAGCGCCCCGTCAACAGAGAAGGGAACAGAGCCCCTTCCGAAAGAAAAAGTATACATACACATATATACACATCATGCATATACACATACACACAAGGTATGTTACATATACGTGTGCATGCACATACACATGTGCACACACACATACACGTGAAAAGAAAATTACAAGCCGCCGACAAGTGGGCAGAGAGCACCACACCGGCCAGGCGAAGAAGGCACAAAACTGCATCAAAAGGCCCACCTCGACAACAAAACCTCAAAGTCCCAGCACGACCACACCGGCCAGGCGAAGAAGGCACAAAACTGCATCAAAAGGCCCACCTCGACAACAAAACCTCAAAGTCCCAGCACGACCACAACATGTGCCAAGACCCAAAAAGATCAGTCTGCAAGCCAGGAAGACCCTGGAACTCCAGAAGGCAGAACCGCGTCACACACAAGGAAACAAAGCCCCCTGAACCCACAAAAGGGGCCCAAGAGGAAGAAACCTCTGGAACGAAACCAAAGAACCCAAAGGAATTGGAATCGAACCAGGGGGAGCCCAAACCACCACATTTGCCGGCGGAGATACACCACAGAAGGCAAAGCACAGCCCCCAGACAGAAACCCCCAGGGAAACTGTCAAAACAGACCAAAAACCGAGGGACAAGGTGTGGGAGCAAGAATAACAGCCAGGGACACAGCCCAAACCCAAGGGCCCAGACCCAAAACAGACAAAATGAAAAACCCGGTGTAAAATCAACACTCAAACTTTCCCAGAGGAACGGGAAACGGGCAGAAAACACCAGAAAAGCAAAGAGAAATGACAACAGGAGAATAAAACCCCTGAAAAAGGGTTAAAACTCACCCAAGATGCTCGCTCACACACCCAGGCGCATGTAAACAAACCACAACGCCGCCCTGGTGGCCACGCCGGGGAAACCAGCAGAAGAAAATGGCCACCAGAATAGAGGGCTGTGACTGACGCAAAATATACGAAAACACGCCAGCAAAAGTGGGAAGCAAGCAGACTGGATGGGCGAAAAACTCCGCCCAATAGCAGAAAACCCAGGCAGGGGCAAACCGCCCCAGAACTGCTAGCAGGCAACCCCCACAGCCCCGGGAACCCGCAACAGAGGCCCCGGGGCTGAGCCGTCCTCCAAGCCCTCCGCCCTTAAAGAAAAGGAAGAGTCCATGTGAAAGGCAGCAAGAAAGAGCCACTGGTAAGACCCAGAAGCCTTGACAGGAGGAACAGGCTCGAAAACCTCAGTCCCCAACCCGAACGGGGCAGCCCCTGAAAATCGCCCAAGTCTTGGCCCCAACTAAACCCCACCCCAACCCCGAAACCCGCAGACGATCCGGAGCCGGGAACAGGGAGGGAAAGGGGCGAACAGCACTTAACCAAAACGGGGCGGCCTCTGGGCATCCGAGTGGGAAACCAACCTAGCATGTTGCAGCAACCTAACCTAGCTTGCAACACAGATGCCGACTGTACTCTGAACAGTAATAACATCAGGAGAGTACTAGAGAACAAGCAGAGAATCTCTCTCGCAAGACTCCGGGCCAAGGTGTCAGTGACCCAACAGGCAGCATGACGGAGGTAAAAGTGGCGACTGTCTCCCGGAGACAAGGCCACAGCACACAGGGGCCTCGTAGCCTGGTGGATAAGGGGCCTCGTAGCCTGGTGGATAGCGCGCAGGACTCGTAATTCTGTGGCGCGGGTTCGATTCCCGCACGAGGCAGAAACAAATGGGCAAAGTTTCTTTCACCCTAAGTGCCCCTGTTACCTAACTGGAAAAGGTGCAGTAAATAGGTACCTGGGAGTTAGTCAGCTGTCACGGGCTGCTTCCTGGGGTGTGTGTGTGTGGTGTGTAAAAAAAAAAAAAAAAAAAAAAAAAAAAAAAAAAAAAAAAAAAAAAAAAAAAAAAAAAAAAAAAAAAAAAAAAAAAAAAAAAATGGTAGTAGTTAGTAAACAGTTGATTGACAGTTGAGAGGCGGGCCGAAAGAGCAAAGCTCAACCCCCGCAAAAACACAACTAGTAAACACAGCAACCAACGATCCCGTACAAGACGGGTTGGAACCCGGAAGACACATTCAATGGTCCACCGAGCCCGGACAGGGGTTTCCAGGGCCCGTAGGCTGACTGCTACGGGAAGCCAGGGCAAGGTGTTGCTATCCCCCACTATTAAGTGGGGGATAGCAATATTAAGAAACCCCAAAATAACAAGAGGGTAGAGGATAGCACTGAAAGCCTCTGTGACGAGTGCAATCATGGGGGCCTAGCAGAGGGCCACGAAACACTACCAGTGGAACTATAGCCATACTAGGCAGACCCCCACCAGGCATGAAAATAAAAGCAAAAGAAAAACCCCGCAAAAGTACACCTGGTTGATACCTGGTTTTCTGGTTGATACACCGTCTCCAGAGGCAACAGGAACCGGTCACCGCTTAGGTGGCAGGTCGTGCAACACCTTGACGCCCTAACCAGCACAATACCAGTCCCTACCCAGGGTCAAACAAAGGGCCCCAAGGCCCAGCTGGCCCCAAGGGCGAGGCAAATGCCGAGCAGCAAGAACCTCTATGGAATGGTTCCCGAACGCCCCAGGGAAGATAACCCTGTTACGCAGGGGCAGTACTCACAGGGCACTAAGGGAAGTCAGCCACTAAGCGCATGCAGCCCCAGCACTGATGAGGTACTCCTGGCCACCACACAACACAACACACGGCAGTGAACGCCACACAAGGCAAACACCGCCTAGGAAACTGAGGCCAGAGAAGCATCTATCCCGGTTGACATAACTTACGAACTGAAGCTAGGTAGCCGGCACGGTAGGTCCAGGTCCTCCCCCTCCCCCTCTCGGGGCGGGGAGGGCTGCGCGGACGATCGGCACGGCAGTAAAGTGTGATGTTTGCTTGTTTCCTTGGGATTGTAGGGAGTTTCTACCTCTCTGTTCGGTTTTTTGTTTTAGTTTTTTACCATGTGGGGTTTGTTTTGTTATGCCTACCTTTTTGGGTGCCTAACCCCAGTCGATGGCATATAAGGAAAACCCCCAACCACAAGGGGGGTTTTCCAGGGCCATTGCTCCCTGAAACCTCTCTGAAGGGGCCAGGTTCTGGCGCTGGTCCCTGGTAGGTCTGAACGCCTTAGCTAATGTCCCGGTCTAATATAACAAACATTAGCCCGATAAGCTCCAGAGAGCCGTAGGGGCTCCCCACAGAAAACCACGCAATGCTGCGTCGTTACCGAGCCAAAGTGTTAATTATTAATTCAGAGCCATTTGTCCCAACTGATATCGATAAATGGCAACTGATTATATCTGTACTAGTAACTGTACAGTACATAGTACTGTATAGTACAGTACATGTAACTGTACTATAGTTACATGTAATTCTCTGTAAATTTATCTGTATATATTGTATACAGTATATACAGTGTTGTTGTTAAATATTTAAATGAAACAGAGTAAAAACTTGGTAAAAGAAATAGGAAGCTTTCATGTTTCTTACCAGGGGAGTTATCATTATTTGGGTTTTCACCCTGGGGTCCTGTGGGCCCCGAGAAGGACCCCATACGGCGTCGAGTCATCCGAGGAGAGTTGCAGAGGGAGATCTCATCTTCTGAAGTCACTCCACCATTCTGCCAAGAATCCAGCTTTTTCCCTTTCTTACTCTGAATATAAAATGAATATTGTAAGCTGAGGTTATTTATAAAATGGAAGTATGTTGCTACATTAATTTATAAGTTTCATATCAGTAATTTATAAAATCTCCCTTACCTTATTGAGAGCCATTTCTACATATTTTCTCTGTGTGAAACCAGAACGAATATCTGAGAGAAGATTCTCCATAATGTTGACCTCTGTTTCTGAACCACTAAAGGAGCCTGGCCGAGGCTGTCCTCCTGTAATTCAACAAGTAATACCATATGTTCAGTAACAATATCAGAGGAAAATATATAAAATAAATACATTGCTATGAAAACCATAAAATATGAATGCTTTATTTTTCTTTGGCAAATATATTCTTTGAAAAATAAGTAAGTTTTTCATGCAAATGGATATGGTATTTTATGAATGGAGAAGAGAAATCATAGATAGATTTTATAATGTCACTGAACCCCCTGCCATAGGGTTGGGCAGAGTGAAGAAGCAATATATACTGCGTGTTACCAGAATATGTTGTTTTGGCCAAAGAGGGTGCAAAATAGAGGTGAGATCATTGATAGACAGATAATAATTTTTGATATGATAAAAAGATTGATAGGTACATCTACTGGTAGGTAGGTCAGTAGGTAGATAGATACATAGATAATAATTTTTTATTCAGGTAAAATCAGGTAAAAATCAGGTAAATAATAGTTGACAAACATCAGCTGGACAATGTTGAAATTTCAAAATTTGCATGTGAAAAAGATATGCGAGTCATGATTAACAATACCCAAATTGCAAGCAGAGTAGATGGGAAGATCCTTTGTGTTCACATTAACAACAAACAAAATTGCCATTGCCATATACAAGATATTACTAAAAAAGTTTATAAAACAGTAGGCATTTTCTCCAAAATCAGATACTATGTTCATAGCCCTGCCCTAGTTACTCTGTTATAGTCAATCAATTATCTATATCTCGCCAATGGTATCTGTGTCTGGGGATCCACCACCTTTAACCACTGCACTGCGTATGGCGCCTTTAGGCGCTGGATTGAGGGTGCAAAGAGCGCCATATGGCAATCGTAGGATTCAAAACTGGTGTGCGGTCACTTAGGTATGAGGTGGATGCCTGAAGGGAGACCCTCAGGCGCGGTCGCGTGCCAGATTCAACAAGCACGAGTTGCTACAAATATTTTTATGTTCATTTTTTCCCACAATTACAAATGCATTTGTTTTGTTTTTTTCTGGCTAATCCTATGTACAGGGGTACCTCTGTTTAAGAGTTTAATCCATTCCAGGAGACAGCTCGTAATCTGAAAACTTGTAAACTGAAGCTAATTTCCCCATAAGAAATATTGGGAAATGAATTAATCCGTTCCCGACTACCCAAAAACCTCACTTCAACTAAATTTTATACCTAACTCATCTAAATCTATACTACAAAAGTATTTTCAAGTTATTACTTACCCTTGCTGATGACTGCTGTTGGCGTATGGAAGATAGTGAGGAGGGGGGAGGAGGAGAGGTGTTTTGACCAGACCACACACTAGAAATTGAAGGGACGACGACGTTTCGGTCCGTCCTGGACCATTCTCAAGTCGAGGTGTTACTGTTTGGAAGGGGAGTCCCCTTCCATTATAACATCAGGCAGTGAGGACTTCACTGGTGTGCACACTCTGGCATGTTTTGCATGCATACCACCAGGACTTGCTTGTCTTACTAAGAATCTGTCTAAAGACACTTGTTTTTTCCTACATTCTAACACTTGTCTGTAGTAAGATATCACATTGTCATTTAAAAGGTCAATGTAACGGCCTGCTACAGCTTTATCTGGGTGAGTTTTTTTTACTAAACTTTGCAGTTCTTCCCATACTTCACACATTTTCTTTATGAAGAAGGGACATCTTTTACTGCCTCTACTCACAACAATTTTCTTAGGTTGAACCTTACCACTGGCTTTCTTGAAACCCATGGCGAGATATATAATACAGTAACAACTTTTATGCTCAAATGGCCAAAAATCCGACAAAAAACTGTAAATCCTTGTGAAAAAATCAGGCAGGATAGTCACTGGGCACGAGGCACTGGTAAACTGAGGCACGATCGCCGTGCCACCATGGGCTAGTCGGCCTGTACGCCGACTAGCGTACCAACACCCTCGTCTTCCGATGTAAATTTTCCAAGCAAATCCTGTTCGTATTCCGAAAAACTCGTATACAGGGACACTCGTATTCTGAGGTACCACTGTATATTGAACAGGTTTACAATATTCATGCAGTAAAACCTCCGTACTGTTCAAAGAAACTTTTACATGTATCACAAATGTGTCCACAAACACTGTTCATATTTTCCATATTACATGTTCAATTACAGTGGTACCTCGGAATATGAGTGTCCCTGTATATGAGTTTTTCGGAATACGAGCAGGATTTGCTCGGAAAATTTACATTGGATTACAAGCGTTGCCTCTGAAGACGAGGGTGTTGGGTACGCGTACAGGCCAACCTAGCGCGTAGTGACACGGCGATCGCCCCTCAGTTTACCAGTGCCTCATGCCCAGTGACTATCCTGCCTGAATTCTTCACCAGGATTTACAATGTTTTATTGGATTTTTGGTCATTTGACCATAAAAGTTGTTATTATATATCTCACCATGGGTCCCAAGAAAGTCAGTGGTAAGGATCCTGTTTTGCAGTTGGTTGAAGAGGTCCAAGCAACAGATTCTGACAACGTCTTCCCTCCTGTTATGGTGACGAAGCGGGCCACAGCTGCTCACCCGAAACCAGCTGCTGCAGCTGTTCCTCAAGATCCTCCGAGCCTCCCACCGAATCTCACAGTGCTGGAGTTCCATACGTTGCAGAGAGAGGATCCCTCCTTAACATCTTTATTCTTACAGGCTGAGATACAACCTAACGCCATCCCTCGTTTCATTATAGAAAATAAAGTGTTATACCAGCATTATAGAACCAGGAAATTGAAGGTGAACAACGATCGGGCCAACATCAAACAACTGGTAGTTCCCTACAGCCTACGATCAGATATCTTGTGTCTGGTCCGGGGATGTTGCTCACACTACGGCTTCTACAAGACCTGCAAGGCCCTGAAACAGGACTACTACTGGCCAGGTATGACTAGAGATATTAAACACCATGTCAAGAACTGTCACATGAAAAACCAGTGTTGAATGTAATGAAACGCCATTTTCTGGGTGAGACCCGGAGGCTCCCCGGAGCTTTACCAGGCTGATATGCTAATGTCAGACTTTGGCATCAGTCATGTGTATGGAGTTCTAGGGCCTACCGGGGACCACGGCCAGAACCTGGCCCCCTCAGAGAGGCAAGGGGAGCAATGGCCTATAGAAACCCCCGTGTGGTTGGAAGCATTCTATGTCTGCCATCGACCGGGTCAAGCATCCAGAAAGGTAAGCATTCCAAAACAAACCCCTATTCTGGTTAAAATTGCTACCTAAAGCCGAACTAGTGGATAGAACTCCCCAACAGAAAACAAGCAAACTAGTATGACGTCACACGTCACCGCGCCGCTGTCTGCGCAGCTCCCCCCTCCCCGGGAGGGGGAAGGGGGAGCCCCAGACCTCCCACGCCGGCTATCCACCCATCAGTTCTGAGGCTGGATGTCAAAACACGCGAAAAACCGCCGACCGGAGGGAGGGAGGGTTGCCGGGGAGCCTCCGGGTCTCACCCAGAAAATGGCGTTTCATTACATTCAACGCTGGTTTTCTGGGGGGAGCCCCGTCGGCTCCCCGGAGCTAACTACCCACAGAGGAAGGTCAAAGGGACGGAACCGGGAGGCGGACACCACGCACCCCCCACAGAAGCGAGACAACCAGCAGCAAATGCCAACCCAAGGTGCCACAGCCCCGAAAGAGCCCAGGAACAACACGAGAAAAACGAGCAGCAAGGCCCCAGTACGAACACCAAAGATCCATGCCCGAATGACAGCAAGGACACGTCGCTCAGATGGCAGCGAGAGCAGCAAAGCCACGAACGCCACGGGTATGGGGGAAGAAAACAGGCAGGTGAGCCACAAGAACACGGCTGACAACCCGGGACACCGTCACCCGCGAACCGGGAAGAACAGAACCGGATCAACGCAAAACGCGCCCTGGACACAGATGCCGTGGCACGCAATTAACAGCGGAGGGCCGCCACTGAACACAAAACACGACACACCCCCGGCCCGACCAACCAAGCACCAACAAACCAAGGACCCCTCCAGAACGCAGCAGCCCCACCCCGTGCCAGAAAAGATGGAGACTGCTGCCACCGAACAACCAAAACACTAAAACCGAAGGAGCAAGAAACTCAGCGACCCGACCCCCAGAGGCAAATGCCAAAAGGAAAAAGAGCCGACGAAAAAACAAACCGGAACCGAAGGGGCACTACCATCCGAGGAGAAGACAGAGCATGCTGACCAGAGACCAGGACAGTGCAAGCAGCGCACAAACAGGCCGGAGGTGAAACAACACACGAGACAGCTTACTAACTGTGCAGAAGCAACACCAAGACCAAAAGCAAGCCAAAGTGGCTCCGCCAGCGCCGCACGAAAAGCGGCGACAGTACAGTATGTGGCAAGACGACGGTCCCCAACCCCCACCAGAAAAACCAAGCCGACGCTAACTACCACAGCCACCTAAGAAGGGACAGGAGGAAAAGGAAGGACCACCAAAATACCCCATACTGCCGCCAAGAAGAAGTACGCAGGTGAGACACCTACCACAAAGCCACCCAACCACCAACCAGAGGCGAGACCTCGAGGCAGAACGTAAGCAGTCCCGACAAGGCCCCTCCGAGCCCAGGAAAAGGCAGAGCCGCAGGAAGATCTCGGGCGCGACCCCCAAAAACCCAGGCGGCACAAGGAGATGGAACGTCTGCCGAACAGAAAAACTCCCCAAAGCAAGCAAGCCCGCCAGGAGTTCAGAAACGACGGGTCCGACGCGAGACATCGCAAGACCCCGAAAAACCAACCGGCAGGGCAAGCTAGGAAACCAAAGAAGGCGGAAGGGTTGCCGCCAGAAACAGTACCCGAACCAAGGGGTACGAGCAACTGCAACAGACCGAGACAAAGAAGCACACCACAGGACACAGGCTGAAAAAATGCCCAAGAAGCCAAGGAACACACGCAGAACACCCCTGCGGCAGAGGAGGAAACAAGGGAACGCACAAGGAAATGAAGTGGTGGAAACCGACCCCCCCCCCCACATAGCAGCAAGTGCAGGCAAAACCGACCAAAGG